CAAAGCAACATGCCCTGCGTGTATCGGAAGCAGCTACCTCACTGTTTGTTGACTTCGTTTTTCCCCCTCAGAATGCAGTGCCACATTTAAAACCATCCCCTTGATAAAGCAACCACAAGAAACCTGAAGAAAATACAGCCCCTGCAGTTCTAGGAACTATTAGAGGGGAGGTTATAGACCATGAGCAAGCTCTTCAAACATGGACTTGTAGTTATCATCTTGAAGCCCCGCCTCCTGGGAGGCTCCCTGGCATTCTTGGTGCACTGACCATTGTATGCACCGCCCAGGAGCTCACCTGAGCAGGCTGCAGTCATTGGACGCGCTCATTTGAAGTTGAGTGTGATTGTGCCTGGAATGGTGAGTCAGCAGTCAAGCTGGGCTAGCGTGGGTGCCTGGTTAGGAGGCAGTGTTTTCAGGAAGCCTTTTCTGGTTATCGGAGGTTTCTCAAAATCTAGACTTCAGCAATGAGATTAGGATTTTGGTAGAAAAAAAAAGGAAAGAGAGGTCGTTTACATGATTGGTTGTAAACATGGTCATCTTGGTAATGCTACAAAGGGGAAATAAGGAATGTATTGTCCCAGAAAAAAAAAAGTATAGCGCTGAAACATATTTCCATTAAAAAGTCCTTCAAATAAGCCAAATAACTTCACAAAATGTTTTAACTTTTGCGTCAGATTTTATATGAACCAGCAGCATTCTTGGTTATGAGAATAATACCTCATTCTTCAGTAATAGTTTCTTGGTCTTTTTGAAGCTCCACTCAGTAAAATATGCAAATTTGCCAAAATAACCAACAGATAATTTAACACAGAAAGCTTTAAATTGTATATCAATTGTGCAAATGTCAAAATAAAGGACAAGGGGCTTAGTTTATATTTAATCAAAGTAAGTAGCATAAACAAATATATCATCAGTGCTTTGTTTTTAATCTTGTACTTTGGCAAACCTTTTAACTGTGATAAGTGAATTTTCCTTTCATTGGGAAAAGCCAAGTTACTGTTGTTTTTGGTTATATAGCTGCATTCTTTCAGATTGTAACAGTTAGCTAAAGACAAGAAACTAAAGGATATTTGCCTCTAAGATATTTATTTCTTAGATTTACATGATAATGACCTTGTGCGTGGTTTCTTGTTTTTTTCCATTTTCTCTGAACATTTTCCTCAAAGCTGCTTGGAATTAAAGTACAAAAATTTTGCATTTATATGAAAACCATCTAACAGTGAACTAGACTTGACTACATATTATCTAGATTTGCTGGGGCTCAGAATTCTTCCAGATGTGTGTTTTCAGTTGTCCATTTGACATTTCCAAGACAAAATTAAACTGTGCTTTCTTCTTGCTTCTCCCCTCTTCTCCCAATTCCCTGTTAATGACTCACCTTGATGACCAGGTAGAAACCTTAACTAGAAATCCCAGCATCTTCCCTGACTTTCCCATCTAATGAGTCTCTCCATTCTATTAACTTCCCCTCCAAATTGTTACCCTAATCTGTGTCCTCTCTTTAATTTCCCACGGCCAGGCTTTATCGTCCCCTGCCCAAATTTGCCACCTCACTGGCCTGCTTGTGGCCTGTCTCTCCCCACTTGTAATCCATCCCTCCACTGCCCCATGTTTCCCTGTCTGGTTGGGTAATTTTCTGGCCTCAACACCTCTAGCAGATTCTCACTGTCCACAGAGTAAGCCCAAACCCCTCAGCCTACAGTCAAACCTTTGCCATCAAGCTCTGACCTGCTTTTCAGCCCTCATTCTCTGCCCCAGCTCCTCCTGTGGTCCACACCTCAGTCTCACTCACCGACCCACCTCTCACGCAAGATTCATGTCTGGGCCCACGTAGTTCCTCCAGCCCACAGTGCTGTGCCCCCAGTGCTCCCAGCGATGACATCCTTATCACTGAAGACCCGTCTCATGTTGACTGTCAGTCACTCTGTGTCTCTGTTACAGACCTTGAATTGTAATTAACTGCTCCATGCCTCCCATGGGCCACTCAGGAGGGAAGGCTCATTTCTTACTCAACTTTCATTTAATGAAATAATTTCCCCTTGACAATAACTCAGCAGCTCCTCTATTACTTCTTGGTATCATACTATCTTTTCTTTATATACACTGACATTGGCACAGAGACAGTGAAGTTGAAATTTCATCTCTAGGTCTATACCTAACCCAAAGATTTGAAAACAGGGACTCAAGTGGATACTTGTATGCTAATGGTCAGAGCAGCATTATTCACAATGGCCAAAAAGTGGAAACTACCCAAGTGTCTGTCAACAAATTAATGGATAAACAATAATGGTATATGCATATAAAGGTGTATTATTGAGCCATACAGAGGAATAAAGTTCTGATACATGCCTCAATATTGTCGAACTTAGAAAACATTACACTAGCCCAGCCAGCGTCTCTCAGTGGTTAAGCGTTGACCTATGAACCAGGAGGTCACGGTTCAATTCCCGGTCAGGGCACATGCCCAGGTTGTGGCCAGACAAAAAGCACAAGTATTATATGATTCCACTTATATGAACTATCTAGAATAGTCACATTCATGGAGACAGAGGTAGGTTAGCGGTTACCAGAGGCTGGGGAGAGAGGGAAATGGGGAGTTATTGCTTAATGGGTGTAGCCTTTCTATTTAGGATGATGAAAATACTTTAGAAATAGATCATAGTGGTGATTGCACAGCATTGTGAATGTAATTAATACCATTGAATTGTACACTAAAAAAAATGGTTAAAATGGCCAATTTCATGTTATGTATATTTTACAACAATTCATGTAATTCAAAAACTACCACCAACACCCTTATGCACATCCTATATAATAAAACCCTAATATGCAAATCGATCGAATGGCGGAACGACGGGTCGCTATAACACACACTGACCACCTGGGTCAAGCGCTCAATGCAGGAGCTGCCCCCTGGTGGTCAGTGCACTCCCACAGGGGGAGCACTGCTCAGCCAGGAGCCGGGCTCACAGCTGGCGAGCGCAGCAGCGGTGGGGGGAGCCTCTCCTGCCTCTGCAGCAGTCGGACATCCCCCAAGGGCTCCCGGACTGCAAGAGGGTGCAGGCCGGGCTGAGGGAACCCCCACCCTGAGTGCCCGAATTTTGTGCACCAGGCCTCTAGTATGTTATAAGCAAAAATGTTATATTTTATATCACCTATGTCTATCATTCTTATCTTCCGAATATATCTTAAGTTCCTTGAAGTCAGGGACAGGTCTATATAGAAAATGTCGTTTAAGAAACGTAGCTTTGTTTTGGAGTTTGGAGTGGTTGTTTTTGAAATTGCTGAAACTTTCCGGATGGGGGTTATTTTCTTTGAATATTAAAAGACTCAGTCCTGACAAAGTAATATGAAGCTGTTGACTGGATTTTGGAGTCTTCCAGTGTGTTGTCTGGACTAGTGGCTAAGGATTGTGCAGATTAACCATGATACCACTGAAAGGAAAGGCAAATAGTCCAGCAAAGTTTTCCCTTTTGCTGTTTTAAACCAGGGGCTTGGATGAGTAGGCCAATTACAATCTGTGGCTGGGATTTAGATTGATTATTTTCTCTAAGTCCTTTTTAAAGGAAATACAAATGTAGGGGTTTCCTCAAAGTATAAAATGATTTGACTCTTCTAGGAAGTTAAATGCATTTGTCTCTTAACCTCTTACAGAAACTTTAAAAAATAATAGATAATGATGACAAGCTGATAATACAGTTCATACTAAAATGAGTTTTATGTACATGTAAATATATAAAAACAAAGCTTCTTAATGTCTTGTTTTATTTCCGAGTGCCAGGATTTTGTATGAAAATAACAGAGACAGAAATGTGAGAAAATGTTAGACCACATTTACGATGATCTTGTATAAATTTCTGTTGTCTCATTCGCTATCAGCCTTGAATGTTGTGTGATGGAGTCCAGCCAGCTGACTGGTCAGGAGCAGTGAGTGATGTGCTAAATGCTAAAGAATTTCCTGAAAACAAAATCTCCCTAGTATCACTGTTCCAGAAGTCAGCATTAGAAATTATTGTTGATGTCACCTTCCTCACATTTTTGGGGGAAATGATTGGGTCCTTGTGGGATGGTTATTTCTAATAGATTTTCCTACCATTTTAAATTTGGACAGTAAGTAGGCTCCAGGGCAGTTCTCTAATTTTAGTATTCACTCGAGTCATCTGGAGATCTTGCTAAAGTGCAGGTCCAGATTGGTGGAGGTGAGTGATGAGGTTGTGCATTCCTGATGTGCTCTTAGATGACACCAATGCTGCTGGTCCATGGACCACATTTTGAGCAGCGACACTGGGTAGAAACCTATGTCAGATACCTGAATTTGTTGTTCTGTTAACATTGGATGCAGTCTTTGGTTGCCAGATAAAACACAAGATGCCCATGCAATACTTGACACATAGTTTACTGAAAAATTATTCATTATTTATCAGAAATTTAATATTAACTGGACTGGACACAATATATGCACATACAAATACACATCCACTCTTAAGTCTGGCAAACCTGAAATTGCAATCTAATTTATGAAGACACTGAATATCACGCATATTATTAGATTTAAAATAATATGATTACTTTTATTTGAGAGAAAGGACACATAGAATTAAGTTTATTTCATGCTTGGTTTTAAAGTACTTATTTCGATGTTGTACTCATATGCTTTTCAGTATAATAAAATATGCAAGCATCAACCTCTTCTCCCTCCTCCAATATATAGGGAATTCTTGAAAAATGGTGAAATCTGTATATTCTAAAATTTGTATATACCTGAAAATGTAGAAATGAACTGGATTATCAGTGTTGTAAAACCGACTACTTGAAGTGATAAGGTATTAATATGACAGCTTTAAATGTAGAGAATTTTTATAGTTTTTGGCTTGTGTCTCTTTGAGTTGGTACTGGTACTGTTGCTATTTTCAAACCCTGTATAAAAGCATCACATGAGATAATCTGTTATTAAAGCAAATGGAAGAAAGCGTAAATGCTTTTGTTGTTGTTTTTTTCAGATTCTTTACAGAGTTGGAAGCAAGACATCAGAATAATATCTTCATAGATGACATAAGTGACATTGTGGAAAAACACACGGCATCCACGTTTGACCCATATGTGAAATACTGTACAAACGAAGTCTACCAACAGCGAACACTGCAGAAATTGTTGTAAGCTATGTTAAATAGTACAGTTTTAATTATCCAGCCTTGTTTTAATTAACTCACATTGATTGAAATTAATTAAGCTCTGAAATCAATTTTGTGTGATGGAGTCCGGCCAGCTAACTGGTAAGGAGCAGTGACTGACATGCTTGACGCTAAAGAACTTATTGAAAACGAAATTTCCCTTGTAATTGTTCCAGAAGTCAGCACTAGAAATTGTTGATTTCATCTTCATCGCATTTTTTGGGGAAAATGATTAGGTCCTCATGGGATAGTTATTTCTAATAGATGGGCTATATCCCAAGGACAAATGTTTAAGAGGATTGCTTTCAGGGTGAGTGTCCTAGTAGAAAAATCTAGTCTCTGGAAAATTTTCTCTCTAAAGCAATTATGAAATAATAGTTTGTTGTTTTCCTTTTTTTTGACTTTTTAAAATTGAATTTATTGGGGTGACATTGGTTCACAAAATTATATGTTTCAAGTATACAACTCAACAAAACATCATCTGTACACTGCATCATGTGCCCTTCACCCAAAGCAAAGTTTCTTTCTGTCTCCATTCTCCCCTCCTTTGCCCACCTCCTCTTATCGCCCCCCCCTTCCCCTCTGGCTGTCACCACTCTGTTGTCTGTGTCCATGGGCTATGCATGTATGTTCTTTGCCTTCTTTCATCCAGCCCTCCAAACCCCCTCCTTTCTGACAGCTGTCAGTCTGTTCCGTGTATCCATGCCTCTGTTTCTATTTTGTTCATCAGTTTATTTTGTTCATTAGAGTCCACATATAAGTAAGATCATATGGTATTTGTCTTTCTCTGACTGGCTTATTTCACTTAGCATAATACCATCCAGGTTCCTCCAAGCTGTTGCAAACGATAAATTTATACAAGTAAAATAGAAGAGATTGGCCATTGGTTGATAATCGTTTAAGCTCAAATGGGGCCTCCTTATACCAGTACTATTGGGCCTATGCCACCCCCCCTCCCCGCCCCCCTAAAACTTTAACTGGCCATTACATATTTTGCCTGAGGCCAAGAGAGAGTTTTCGAGGAGGCTGAATAGTTAGTGCCAGGATCCAGTTTTCTCTAGGACTCTAATCTTCTTCCATTCAAATGACAGCTCTGTTAAGTTGTTTGTAGGAATTGCTGATTTCCCCTTTGGGTAATCTGAGAAGCAAAGGTCTGAAAGAAGCCATGGGGAGGGAGGGAGTTCTTAAAGACTTTAATTATGAAACCAAAAACAATTAAGCTTTAAACTTCTCTCCACAGCTTTTGTCTTTGTCCTACTTAGGTTTAAGTTTTGGTGTGGTGTATATTCCATCTCTATCCATGAGAGAGTCAGCAATTGTTCAGTAACGTCTATATTGTTCTATTTTCGGGGGCTTGTTTATCACAAGTAGCTGCATTTGTGCATTGCTGTAAACGCAGCTTGGGGGTTACTGGCTGTTATCGTCCCCCCACTGGGATTTGTGGCGTTTTCGACCTTGGCTGGGAGCTGTGGCCTGGCTGGGAGCTGTGGCCGGCTTCTCTGCAGGGTGTGAGACCTACCAAGGGTCGGTGATGAGTCATCACCTCCAGGCTGCTTGTAGAACCAGCCCCTGGTTGGTGAGAAGGGCTGGTCTGCCCCTTCCCTCTCCACGTCCTCATGTAGCCCTTGTACAGGGTGGGAAATCCAGCCGCCAGCTCCAGAGGAGGTTTGCAGTACAAAGCGGGGTTTGTCGGCACTACTGACATGTGGGGCTGGATACCTCTTAGTTGTGGATTCAAGGGTCCCAGGTTTGATTCCCGGTCAGGGCACATGCCCGGGTTGTGGGCTCGATCCCCAGTAGGGGTCGTGCAGGAGGCAGCCGACTCATGATTCACTCTCATGGATCTCATAGATGTTTCTCTCTCTCTCCCTCTCCCATCCTTTCTCTCTAAACAAATCAATAAAAACACACAAAAAAACCAACCTAAAAAAATGTGAATAGGAGCTACTGTGCATTATGTAACTTTTAAAAATCGAGGTTTTCTTGAAATTAGCATAATGAAACCATCAACTGAGCTTTCACCTGGACACGAGTGTCTGGGTTCTCAGGAGCTGGGTACAGTTGTGTGAATTTACATTTAGGACAGTGACATTCAACTTCACCTGCACTTTGGAAACTCCTGGGAATCTGAGAACCAGCAAAAAACAAAGCCCAGGGTTCACCCCAGACTACTTAATCAGACTCTTTGGTGGGGGGTGGGGGAGGAGGGCTGGACTGGGACCTAAAGATGCAACTGGTTTGGAGTTTGATTTTTTTCCTTGAACTTTCTAAAAATCTTTCCAAGCAAGTAGGAAGGAAAACTTAAAACTCCTCATTGTGAGAAAATGAAATTAAAACATTTCTATGACATTTCTTTTAATTTGCTAATCTGGGTATTTCCTAATTTATTTTTAGCAGACTTGAAACAAATAATTGAATTTTGGGACCTTGTTTATCACAAGGCCTGAGGATATCCTCGCTTGAAGATATTTTTTATCGATTTTTAGAGAGAGTAGAAGGGAGGGGGAGAGACAGAGAGAAACCTTGATGTGAGAGAGACACATCAATTGGTTGCCTCCCACACAAGCCAAGCCCTGACCAGGGTCCCAGGGAGGGATCCTGCAACTGAGGTACATGACCTTGACTGGAATCAAACCTGGGACCCTTCAGTCTGCAGGCTGACACTCTATCCACTGAGCCAAACCGGCTAGGGCAGTGGTCAGCAAACTCATTAGTCAACAGAGCCAAATATCAATAGTACAACGATTGAAATTTCTTTTGAGAGCCAAATTTTTTAAACTTAAACTATATAGGTAGGTACATTGTTATTAACTTAATTAGGGTTCTCCTAAGCTGGCCTTTGCTAAAAACGTCCTCAATCAGATTGAGGTACGTTCGCTGAGGTTGACCCCTTCCAACTCTCCCATCCACACTCGCCTTGTATACTTGTTTCGTCTATTTCCTTTCTGAAAACTGGCTTCTGCGCATGGGCCACGAAGTTTCAATCGCACTGTACGTGTGGGCCCGCACGTGGTATTTTGTGGAAGAGCCACACTCAAGGGGCCAAAGAGCTGCATGTGGCTCACGAGCCTCGGTTTGCCGACCACTGGACTAGGGCAAAATATACACTGAGTGGCCAGATTATTATGACCATCCCATCAAGTGAATTAGTTATGCAAATAATAATAAAACCTGGAGAGTATTTGCTTAGGAAGTTTTCAATATTCAGTATTTTTGGAAGTGTCAATGAAGTACTGATGGAGTGGTTGTAATAATCTGGCCACGCAGGGTATATATATGTGTAAAAAGGTCACAATTGCCACTGTGCTGCTTCTTGCCCCTCTCCCCCTTCCCTTGCCCTCCAACGTGGGGTTACATTCAGGACCACCCTTTCCCAGCCCCCTCCTTGCAGTCACAATGGAGCTCCTCACAGCTCCTCTGGGGCTGAAGTGAGGTGAGAGATGCAGGGGTGAAGGCACCCACTGAACGTCAGAAGACCTTGGCTTGACTTCTGTCTTTACCAAATACTAGGTCTATTATTTGGCAAGTCGGGGACCTTTCTGAGGCTCCATTCTAATTGGAATCCCCTCTTGACCTTCCTTAAAAGTTATATGGGTGGTCCCGCATAAGATCGTCTATGTCAGTGTATCTTGCTAAACGTTGTGGCAGTATTTTACTGGTTTTATTGTCACTGGGAGAGAAGAAACACTGCTGACAATGGTCTGTTTTCTGTTTAACCAGACTCTTTGGAGGTGGAGACTGGGGCCAAAGGGATTTAAAGATGCAACTGGTGTAGACTTTGATTTTTTTCCTTGAACTTTCTAAAAGAAATTTTTAAATGAGTAGGAAGGAAAACTTAAAACTCCTCATTGTGAGAAAACGAAATTAAAATGTTGTGGCAGTATTTTACCGTGTTTATTGTCAAATTTTATTACAAATTAAAACTAATTTGTGATGGATGCGTTCACCATTCCGACGCCATTGCCTCATCATTTGTTTACTTTCCACGTCTATAAAATTGTAGCTCAGACATTTTCATCTCATTGTTCATACTGTCACCTTAGACTCATATCTTACACTCAGTCTTGACTATAAAAGGCAGACAAGCCATCTATGTCTACCTATGTAATTATGTGTTCATGTTGTATATATTTAAAAATGGTTGGTGATATCTGAAATTATCACAGTATTCTATACTACATTTTTTTATTCTTAACTTGAGGAGACTGTCTAGTGAAGTTTCTTCTTTTTTTGTTTTCCCTCAGAGCCACCAATCCATCTTTTAAGGAAGTGCTGTCAAGAATCGAGTCCCATGAAGACTGTAGGAACTTACCCATGATCTCTTTCCTCATTCTCCCCATGCAGAGGGTGACTCGCCTTCCCCTGCTGATGGACGTAAGACTTGATTGGGTGGCTCTTACCTCTGTGGGTAGCCATAGTGCCATAAACCTGATTAAGGAAATTATTCTTCTTCCACTTAAATTGATGCCTCACCCCTCTATAAAATCTCCCGATTAAGTGAGAAGTTGCTATTCGGCTGGAAAGTCTCACTTTTGTCTAGTATCTTTAGGAATCGTGTTCAAGTTAGGTTTGTGTGGTCACTGAAGGATTTCGATGACATCACTCACTGAATACTTTTTGAAATGGGAAGAATATTGACTTCTTGAAGTCAGGAGTCCTGGATTGGGTTCTGGCTGAGCCATGAGACCTGTGACCTTGGGCAGCTCATTTAATCTTTTTGGGCCCCCGTTTCCCCAGGAGGCACTCTGACACGTAAACCTGATGCGGTGAAGTCCTGTGGCTCTGGAGTAAGACAGATCTGGGTGCAGGTTCTGTCTCTGCCACTGACTAGGTGATCCTAGGCAAATTACTTATCTTATTCTGAAAATAAGGATAATGGTACCTGCAGGGTTGGCATGAAAACGAATGAAATAGTAAATGGTAAGTGTGACAATAGACAGTGTTTCTTGACTAAATTAATAATATAATATACAGGCCTATGCTGAGTTATATTTAATACTCGAGGCCCGGTGTATGACGTTCGTGTACTGTGGGGGCAGTCCCTCAGCCTGGCCTGTGCCCTCTCGCAGTCCGGGACCCCTCGGGAGATGTCTGCCTGCTGGCTTAGGCCCACTCCCCGCCTAGCCTAAGCCGGCAGGCCGACATCCCTTGAGGGGTCCTTAGTGCTGCTGCAGAGGTGGGAGAGGTGCCCACTGCCACCACTGTGCTCGCCAGCTGTGAGCCCAGCTTCTGGCTGAGTGGCGCTCCCCCTGTGGGAGCGCACTGACCACCAGGGGGCAGCTCCTGCGTTAAGCATCTGCTCCCTGGTGGTCAGGGTGCATCATAGCAACTGTTCGTTCTGCTATTTGGTCGATTTGGATATTAGGGTTTTATTATATAGGATTGTGACTTTTTCGAAGATACCTTCAAAGAGCAGCTGCTGTGCTTTCTTCTGTGAGATTTATCAGTAGTAAAGAGGTCATTTAAAACAAGATTTATATTATGTGACTTCTAACACTTTTTTATGGAACTTTGAGTTATATAGGGAAACATTTCAAACTTTACTATTTTAAATAAGAAATGGGTGCTTTCTGAATGTCAACTTTCTTGGAGTATTATGAATTTTCAGGGTTCTTTCTTCTTCTTCTGAAAATACATTTTAGCCATGTTTCCTTAGATTCTGTATATACTGCCATCTCTCAGCCTTTCATATTCTTCTCTGTTTGATTTTGGCAAAATTGCTTGAATAGATTAGTACCCACAAAATCTAACATACCATGTTGAGTGTTTATGCCATATTGTCCAATGGGCTCTAATATTTTTTTTAAATTTTTTAAATATATTTTTATTGATTTTTTACAGAGAGGAAGGGAGAGAGATAGTTAGAAACATCGATGAGAGAGAAACATCGATCAGCTGCCTCCTGCACATCTCCTACTGGGGATGTGCCTGCAACCCAGGTACATGCCCTTGACCGGAATCGAACCTGGGACCTTTCAGTCTTGAGGCCAACGCTCTATCCCTTGAGCCAAACCGGTTTCGGCGGGCTCTAATATTTTTTAGGGTCAAAGACCCTTTTGAGATTCTGAGTAAAGTGTGGTCATTCTCCCTAGGAAATTCAGTATGTACAACGTTTACATAAAATTGAGGTGTGCAGAGACACTATGAACTTAGGGTGCCTGCTCTCAGGGACATAAGCCAGTATTTTTCAAACCACTTTCATACCCCTTAGTCTGCCACAAAATCGACTTTTGAAAAATGAGCACTGTTTAAAAAAAAATTAGAACATACTCTACATGACATGTATATGGTCCATAATGGGGTTAAGTATTAATTTCATTAAAAAAAGCCTTGTTTCATTTTTGTTTGCATGTGTATTGGTCACAGTGTTAAATGTATTTCCTACAGTGGGTCATAGTCAAAAACATTTGAGAACCATGACTATAAACCCACAGATGGCACTGTCTGTGTTTCTTCTGACACATCACATGTAACAATCCAGACACCTGACCTCAGGTGTGTAGGCCTGGTACTTACCCCATTGTAGGGACCAGGGGTTTGCTAGACCTAAGTACCTTCCACCTTCACCTGATGCCCACTGCCCTAATCTGTTTTGTGAGAGAGTCTGGACTTCAGACATTATCTCTTCAATGTTACTTCATTTGGAGATTTAAACTTGTTTTGAAATTATTTAAACTTGAGATGAACAGTTTTAACACTTAAAATAGTTTTGTTGGTTTTGAATTGGGTGTAGTTTCAAAAGTTATGTGTAATTTGGTTTACCTTGAATTCACCTTCTTTGAGCTCAATTTTACTATCTCAAAAATTGCAGTATGAATATATCAAGAGAAAATTTAGCAGCCTTTTTTCTTGATATTTTTATTCAGTCATGTTATATACAAAATTAGTTCACCTCTAATGATGATTATGATGATAACAATTAAAGTTATTTTATTATTTATGGATGGCCTACTATATGCCAGGCACTCATAAAGCACTTTACATGTATTATCATTTAGTCCTTGCAGCCATCTGGTGACATAGCTGGCATTATTCTGAATTTATAGATGAAGAGACTGAGGTTTATTGAGACAGAAGACTTACCCAAGATCAAATAGCTAATAAGGGTCAGAGTTCAGATTTGAAATCGGGTTCATCCACCTCTGAAGTCTATCCTCTTATTTAACTGTTTGTTGGATTCTGTGTGTGTAAAGACTATTTCATAGTTTTTTCATTGGATGTTAATGTCATCATCATACCCATCCATAATATTGTGTTCAGCATTGTGAAGTTTGCTATGAGCGGGAGGGTATGTCTGGGCATTGGTTTTATTGTACTTAAGAAAATCAGTCAGTTAATTTTCTTCTTCTTTTACTTTATTACAGACTATCTGTCAAAAAACCCCGAAGGACTCTCCGAAGTATGAGGTCTGTAAAAGGGCCTTGAAGGAAGTAAGCAAGGTAACTGTTGGGTAGCTCCTCAGACAGTAAAGCGCTCAGATCGCTTGGAAGAGAATGTGTCTGGGTTTGCTGCTGGAAACGAGGTCATTTGCACAGCATTCTTTAGCGAGCTGAAAAACAAAACGATGTTTGCTACACTCAGATGAAATGTGCATTTTTACCATGTCAGACAGTCTTGTTTTAAGGGCCTATAGATGTCTCATTTTTTTGTGGTGTCTGAATAGCTGTTTATTTCCCCATTAAATAAGTATTTATTGCATGTCAACTACTGTGCCAGGCATACCAGCCCTTGAAACTACGGTGATGGTTAGCGGCTTTTTAAAAATTACCTCATTAACATAAATTAAGGTGTTGTTTAAAAGGACTTGTTATAAATAAATATCGTATTATGACTAAAGATGCCCCTAATGGCTCCTATATAGGAAATTACAAGGGTTTTAGATGCTCTGTTCTGGGAACTATGGACAAAGACCAACTATATGTTTCTTATTATAAATCACAATGTCCCAGGCCATCATTAAAGGACTGAATGCCTTCAGTTGTAGATCATTCATTATTTCTTTTTTTTTTTTAAATATATTTTATTGATTTTTCACAGAGAGGAAGGGAGAGAGATAGAGAGTTAGAAACATCGATGAGAGAGATACATCGATCAGCTGCCTCTTGCACATCTCCTACTGGGGATGTGCCCGCAACCCAGGTACATGCCCTCGACCAGAATCGAACCTGGGACCTTTCAGTCCGCAGGCCGACGCTCTACCCACTGAGCCAAACCAGTTTCGGCCATTATTTCTAATTACAGTGAATGTCCCTGAGCCTGGCCATCCTTGAAGAGTCACTGACCATCAGGTTCCCCCTAAATCAGTGGTTCTCAACCTGTGGGTAGCGACCCCTTGGGGGTCGAACGACCCTTTCACAGGGGTCACCTAAGACCATCGGAAAACACATGTATAGTTACATATTGTTTTTGTGATTAATCACTATGCTTTAATTATGTTCACTTTGTAACAATGAAATTGGGGGGTCACCACAACATGAGGAACTGTATTAAAGGGTCGCGGCATTAGGAAGGTTGAGAACCACTGCTCTAGATGAAGGCTTCCCTTTACTAGTCCTATGCTTTCCACTGGGCTTAGAATTTGCCTTTGACCTTGGTAATCTGCCTCCAGCTGCTCCGACTTGGCAAGGAGGCGAAAGGTGCAGCGTGCCCTGAGGCTGGGTGAGGGTTTGGGTTGAGGCAAGCAGGAGGGACGGAGGAAAGGAGCAGACTGCCCAGGAGCTAGGGACTGGGCCTGTGGGAGGAACCCGGTGTGGAGGGTGTGATGTAATAACTCATGAAAGACATGTGTTCCTAGAAATTTTTAGGAGACTTTCCCCCCCTGTCTTCACTTCCTAATGACCCCACTTCTCACTGAGGACAGTGTCTTAACTGTGTAAAAGTGAATTCTTCAACCGTCAGAGAGGAGTCTGTGGAGTTTCCCCGGTGCTAATTACTTCCTGCGAGAGATCTGCTTTTGAAAATGGGGTTTCTCTCCTCAATCCCTCAATCCTCCTTATGTTTCTGTGTTCCCAGTTGGTTCGACTGTGCAATGAAGGAGCCCGGAAGATGGAAAGGACAGAAATGATGTACACAATTAACTCCCAGCTGGAATTTAAAATTAAGGTATGTCCGCACTTCCTCATAAACAGATTTATTACTGCTCTTGCTTAAGTCTTCTGTAAATATGAAGACAGTCGAGGGCAACAGAAGTGGATAGGATTTTGTTTTTCAAAGAAGGACCATACATTGATTAGAGAGAGGCTGGTGGAGAGAATAGCAGATGCTGAGGGAGATTCTATTCTGCTTATGCCGGATAAAGCGACCTTCCCATAAACCACAGTTAGGTATTATCTGACGAGAACATTTTTTTCCCCCAGGAAGCCAGCAAACTCGGGAAAAAGGTAGTTAAAAATAATAGAACTTGCCCGGCTGGTGTGGGTCAGTGGTTGAGCATCGACCTATGAAGCAGGAGGTTATGGTTCGGTTTCTGGTTGGGGACAGTGCCTGCGTTGTGGGCTTGATCCCCAGTGGGGAGCATGCAGGAGGCAGCTGGTCAGTGATTCTCTCTCATGATTGATCTTTCTATCTCTTTCTCCCTCTCCCTTCCTCTCTGAAATGAATACAAATACGTTTTTAAAAGCGAATAGAACTTTAGTATGGGAAGAAGCTTTCTTTCAGATTCTCAAAGTGTCCTACAAAACAGTGGTCTTGTATCTGATAAGGACACTCCTTGTCCAGTTTGCAGAAACATTGTTTGTGGATTGTTCTTTGCAAATTTGTTTTTCTCCCATAGTTCTTTATTGACGATGTGCTGCCCGTTACTGCTTGTCTGACACTGCTCATGGGCAGATGACAAGATGAAAAAGAAAGAAAATGACAGTTAATGGTTGTAAATCTTGGCCATGCTCAGTCCTTTGGTTTAAAGCTGAGTTCTTAATGGATGTGAATGATCAGGATTGGCGTTCTGTTTTGTTTTATTACATGTAAATTGTGTTAAGCAACTTAAAATGACAGGCCTTTTTTAAAATTTATATTTAATTTTTTAAATATATTTTTATTGATTTCAGAGAGGAAGGGAGAGGGAAAGGGAATCATTGAGCAGCTGCCTCCTGCATGCCCCACACTGGGGATCAAGCCCGTAACCTGGGCTTGTGCCTTGAGCAGGAATTGAACTGTGACCTCCTGGTTCAACGCGTAACCACTGAGCCATGTGGGCCAGGTTGTTTCTTGTTTCTTTTTTTAAAATCTTCTTTTTAAAGATGGCAATCCCCTAACCATTTGTCTTTTTAAAGATGGTAAATTCCTTCCCTAATCATGTTTTTTTTTCTTCCTCGCTGAAAATCAGTTGATTTAAAATATCTTTAAACTTTATTTTTCTAGAATGCAAAATTAATATGTAATTGAAAAAAGCTTACCCAGGGGTCCTTAAAAGTAAGTGATTAACATCAATTGAGTTCATGAGTTTAACGAGCACCTTATTTGTGGAAAGCAGTAGGAAGAACAAAGATGTAATCCCTGTGCTTGGGAAGCTTACAGCCTCACAGAAAATTACAGAAATGAAAAAAAGTTAGTAGCAAAGTCTGCAGCTGTCACAGTCGATGGGAGACTGGAAATGGAAAGGATAATGGTCAGCTCTAGGAGTGAGGGATGGAGGGATGGGGAGCTTGTATCAGGTAAGGCTTCCTACGCCAAATCCAAGATGTAACACAACATGAAAAACTCCAAGGCATTAAGAAGTCTTTGGACTGTAGAAGACAGTTTGATGTTTCCTCAAAAAGTTAAACAGAATGACTACATGACCCAGCAATTTCACTCCTAGGTACATACCCAAGAGAACTGAAGACAGTTGTTCATTTAAAAACAAATGGTCATGGTAGCATTATTCATTATAGCGAAAAACGTGGAAACAACCCAAATGTCCGTTAACAAAATTGGTGAGGTGATAAACAAATTGTGGTATATTCATACAGTGAAATAGTATTCAGACGTAAAAAAGAACAAAGTCCTCATAGATGCCACAACATGGATGAACCTTGAAGACATTATGCTAAATGAAAGCAAGCAGACTCCAAAGGTCACATATCGTGTAATTCCTTTTCTATGAAATGTCCAGAATAAGCAAATCCATGGAGTTAAAGTAGAATCATGGTTGCCGGAGCCTTGAGGAAGGACAGAATGGAGAGTGGCTCAAGGCATACGGAGTTTCTTTTTAGGGTATTGAAAATGTTTTGGGATTATGTAGGGCTGATCATTGCACAACATTGTGAATGTACTGAAAGCCACTGAATTATTTGTATACCTTTAAATGGTTAAATGATCATTTTTGTCTCAATTCATAAAAATATATATTTACTCTTCAGCAGTTCTTTCTTGTCTTGCTGGCTCATAAAATTAGTTCAACTTTATACTGAGGCTAGTTTTCTAGGATGCCAAATAACACAAAAAAGGATGAAAAGTCTTTTCTCCATAGGACTTACATCAGTACCTTTAGGGATATATTTTTATTCATGAACTTTTTTTCTAGTTTTTTATTGACACCTGAATTTTTGTCTTAGAGTTTCTGAATTCCAGGAATTCACTTATGCCCATTTTGGGTTCTTCGGATTCTTTTCTCTTGGACATTCTCATAGTTTCTTTTTCTTCTTCTTTTTTTTTAAAGAATGAGTTTCATCTTCTAATAAATTCTGAAACAAAAAAAAACATTTATAATATTGGATTTTTGTTTTCAAAAGAGGCGTAGACATATTGAAAGCCACTGTCCATTTTAGATATTCCTTAGATAGTGATTTTTGCGTAGTGGAATATGAGGAGCCTAAAAAAGTCAATGTATTTTAAAAACAACAAACTAGTTTTAAAAACTTTCTTTCCCCCGCACCTAAACGAAGAACTTAACCATAAAACTGTCCTTGGTTCATACTGTAGGGTTACATGCAACAGC